TGGGCTCCGGCGATCCTTCCACCTTAGCCTTCCAAGTAGCTGGAACTACAGGCGCACGCTACCACGCCCGGCTAATTTTTTTGATTTGTTGTAGAGATGAGGTCTCGTCAAGTTGCCCAGGCGGGTCTCGAACCCGCGGGCTCAGGCAATCCACTCCCCTCGGGATTACAGGCTGAGCCACCGAGCTCAGGGTAGATTCTTTAGAACACACTCCATAGAGGCAATTCTAAAACTTTTCTTCTTTGTACTTTCCAATTCCATGGCTGCTGACTCAGTCTCAGGCAGATTGTTTGACTCCTACTTTACTGAGATGATTTTGAATCTCTGAAGCTCATATGTCAAAATATCTCCAGTTCTTCATAACTACTGCCTTCTCCCGATTCAGAGAGAACAATATCCCTTCTCGTCAAAGTTTATTCCGTCACCCTGAATCCCAACTTTTGGGCTCTTGAGAGAGCCAAATAAATAGCATGCTTCTTTCCCACCCAAATTCTGAGCATTCTGAGAAACAGGATGAAAACAGGGCAAAGAGAGACCACAAGGCAAAACTGGAGAACAGGACTTACTGGAGAGCCAAAGGCATGTAGAAACCGAATCCCAAATGCGGATTTAACTGCAGGGTCACATGTAATGTTGGATCAGGCCAAAGCTTCCAGAAGAGCAGGTGGCCACACCTAGGCAAGACGTAAGGCCGGGAGGAAGGGAGAGTTGCTCTCCACGGGCAGGACTGCTGCCCAAAGGCAAAGGGGAGATGAGCAGCATCTTCTTCCCACATTCACCAGACTAAGCCACTCACCTCCCTTAGGGGGGAAGCAGTAAGGGCACAGAGACCAGGAAGGTTACACAATTGAGTTTCCCCACAAAGAAGGAACCATCTGAAACGGGAAAGAAGCATGCCCTCCCACACCATCCCCTTCCAACACCATCCCCTTCATTTCCTTGAACCTTGTTTCATTTAAGGTTTTTCTCTTGCCAACATTTTCTCCCTCTCAATGATTCCACCCTGTTCTGAACATTTCAAACACCCATAGGATTCCTAATAGATGACCCTCTTTAAAAACAAACAAAAACTGAATTTGGCCCTGTGACCTATTTTAACCAGTCTTTACTTCATTGAACTTGGGAGCTGAAAAATTCCTCAGCGTCCACTCAATCCAACCCTCTAATTTTTGCAAATGAAGCAAATGAGTCCCAGAGAGGGAGAGCAATTTGCCCAAGGTCACCTCCTTTCTCTTTTTGTTTGTGAGGAACAGAACATTTTCTACTTGCTGATACTTTTCCTTGGAATTCTCATCCCCCAGGCCTCATGGCCACCTCCTTGCTGTTGTCCAAGTCACAAATCAAACATCACTTCTCAGAATCTCTTCAATATCCTCACTCTACCTTATTTATCTTCCCCGGGTGTGTAGATTATAATCAATTCTTACTGTAATAACCTTGGGGGGGCGAAGGAGAAATTTGAAGTGAGCCCCAGAAGATGCTGAAGAGTGCTATCGCCTTTGCATGGCTTACAACCTAAATTACGCAGAATATATACTTGTTATAACTTGTTGTTACTCGCCCACGTCCTACTTGTCTTAGATTCGCGGATGGCCTAAATCTCTGTTCTCTGCAAGTACATAACTCTCACTGACGTCAATCAGGGTCACGGTCTCACATTTAAGGAAAAACTGAACTGACTGTGGTTGCAAACCACCTTGCAAGGCCTCTTTCAGCAAATGGAAACCATATTTCTAGGCAGTTTGTTGACTTCAGCACTTTTGCCTATTATTGTGCTCCAATTTAAAAGGCCAGCCTGCTTTACTGAAGCATTATTCCATTCTCTGTCATAAGCCATAACATATAAAAGCCCCCCCCTTATCAAAATCAATGTTTAGTTTAGTGGCTAACCATTGCTACCTCTAAAGTGAGTGTGCTATGCAGCATGAATTTTAAATGCTTAAATGATTGTCTCAGCACCGTTAACGCCTTCAAGAGAATTAATGTAGATAATACTTTTCTTAAGGAGAGGAAGGATCAAATACCAAACAGAGCCATGACACAGAGAAGAAACTAGTCTGCCACTCTGTCACACGAACTGGAATGCACACATTTACAAACGTGTGATACAGCCTCTGTGGTGCCACCTCCCTTCAGTGGAAACAATTTCATTCTCCTTTCAAGCTACCTAATAATGTATATCATTCTCATGGCCCTTAATTTATCCTGCTTGGTTTTATAGTTATCTCCATTTCTCCAATGCTCTATAACTCCTTGTGTTCGTGGCCATGTTGAGAATAGTATCCTATACATGGTAGGTTCTCAATATCTGTGGGACTGGCATCTAAAGGCATTTGTAATTTCAATGTCTAGCTACTTACAGAAGAGGAATTCTGGCTTGCCTACGTTCTACAGTCTAGCAGAAGGTTATTGCTTAACAAATGTCTTCTCCAGAGGTCTCATTTTTTCTTCCCAGTATATACCTGAGCCTCTTTATGCCACATCTTTTTTCTTATAAATAACTTGGTGGTAGCCGGGCTTGGTGGCTCAGCCTGTAATCCCGCGCCTTTGGGAGGCTGAGGTGAGTGGATTGCCTGAGCCTGCGGGTTCGAGACCCACCTGGGCAACTTGGCAAGACCTCATCTCTACAATAAATCAAAAAATTAGCCGGGCGTGGCAGCACACGC